CTCTGCCTCCCGAGTGCTGGGATTAAAGGCGTGCGCCACCACGGCCCGGCTCTTTTGATTTTTTTTTAACATCTTTCTTTTGATTTTTTTTTTTTTTTTTTTTTTTGTCCAAGGTCACATATAACCAAGACTCATAATCCTCAACTTGCCATGTAGCTGAAACTGGACTTGAACTCCTAATCATCCTGTTTTCACCCCCAAGTGCTAGGGTTACAGATGTGCACCATCATGTCTAACACCTCTCTCTCTCTCTCTCTCTCTCTCTCTCTCTCTCTCTCTCTCTCTGAGACAGGGTCTGTCTATGTAGTACTGGCTGTTTTGTAGCTCACTTACATAGACTAGGCTGATCTTAAACTCATAAAGATCCTCCTGCCTCTGCCTCCTGAATGGACTGGTACGATTAAAGGTGTGTGCTAGCATGTCTGGCTAATGCATCTGATTTCATTCATATGCACAGATGATAAATATGAAATTCTCCTGAAAAAATTGAGTTGAGGATACAGTTTTGCCTTATTGCACATGCACTCAAAACAAGTTCAGGCTCAGTCTCCCCTGTATCCTGATGTATCAGGGACACATTTGAATAGAGACTGCCCACGTTTGATGGTCATTAAGGGGAAGGGAAACTTATTCACACGGGTTATACACATAGCCCAATGCAAGTAGGGGATGAAGAATGCTGTACTAGATGTGTTATTCAGAGGTGTGTGTGTGTGTGTGTGTGTGTGTGTGTGTGTGTGTGTGATTTTCAGGCAAAGGAGCTAGGCTTCCAATGAATTAGAAGAGTGTGGGAGTGGGGTGTGCTGTATGTCACCTAAGCCAAGTTCAGTCTGCTGACTAAACTATTCCCTGTGCAAGCTGCCTCAACAGGTCCCACAGTGTACCTAAGCTGACCTAGAACTCACTATGTAGCCTAGGTTGGACTCATCTGGAGACATTCTCAGGCCTCAGCTTTGCAAGATTTCAGGTGTGAGTTATGATATTATCCTTTCCTTAGTGAGTTTTGCTGTTGAATGTGTGTTCATACACTTATTAGCCATTTGTAAAGCCTAATTAGTGAAATACCCTATTGTGTACAGTCTCCTCTATGATTCCCAGTTTGATGTGGCTCTGAAGCATTCTCTTACACACTTAAGTTTAGTGATTCAATTTCATCTCTAGGATTTCTATTTGTCTTCACTGTGATCATTTCTATGTCTCTGACAAACTTCTTTTGTTCATGCATTATTTTCCAAACCCATACATTCATTCCTCTTTTCCCTCCTATCTCTTCCTTTTCATTGTTTTGTTTTTGTTGTTTTGTTTTTAGACAGAATGTCATGTATCCCAAGCTGTCCTTGAACTTCACCCCATGTAGCTGAGGAAACTCCTGAGTCCTGGGATTACCCAGGCATGCACCAGCTCACCTGGTTATTCGTCTCCTTGCTGTCATTTTCTCCAGCTCCCTTTCCTTGGAATCCATTGTTGGAGTCTGATTTTATTTTCCACTCTGCTATCTTCCTCCCTCCTCCCGAATGCTGGGATCACAGGAATGTACCACCAGACCGCCCAACAGTATGTTAGATCAAGATGATTAAAGCAGCCATTTTTGTCTTGTTTCTTGATAATTTCATTTTATAGATATGGAAATACAGGCCATAAGAGGAAAATCTGCTTGCTCTAAGTTATGCTAATGTGTCAGGAATTGCCACCCAATTTCTTCATTTCTAGTCAAGTATTTTTTCCCACTATATTGAAATGTCAGAATTAACCATAGCCGCTTTAGAAGAGACAACATGATTCACTTACTGTAAGCCACAACATTGTAAAGCTTATCTTAAGATTACAACATCACATTGATGAATGATGATAAATGTGGTTGAGCTAGTACAGTGTTGTGGGGTATCCTGGATTTTAAAACCAAAATTTTCATCTCTGACACATGTCAACGTTTACCAGTTTTCTCTTCTGTCTTCAGTGCAGTTACCATTGGAACTGATATGTTAGAACTGGATTGCCATATCACAAAAGATGAACAAGTCGTGGTATCACATGACGCAAATCTGAAGAGGTCAACTGGGATCAATGTAAATGTCTCCGATCTCAAATATTGTGTAAGTAAAAATAAACAATATCATTATATTTAGGGGAAATATTTTGAAGGCAGAAAAGAGCCAGATGTCACTACAATAAATATTTTTGGAAATCGTGATGATTAAACTGGTTTAATGGCTCACAGCTATAATCCCGGCACTTGGGAAGCATGATTGTCCAAGGCTTGAGCCTAGGCTGGGCTCCTGTCTCAAAACAAACAAACCAATAGGCGCCAGAGAGACAGCTCCATGGTTGAGAGCACTGTCTACTCTTCCAGAGGACCCTGCTTCCATTCCCAGTACCCATGTGGTACCTCACAACTGTAACTCCATTCTGGGGGATCCAACACACTTTTCGGGCCTCTGTAAGTATGAGACATGTAAGTGGTGTACAGACATGCATGCAGGCAAAATACTTACACGCATAAAATAGAAAACAAGTAAATAAAACTCAAACCAACAAAATCCTTAAAGAATGACAGTGATTAAAATAAATGAAAAAGGAAAAAAAATGTTAAAATATCTTGGCATCCAGCAAGGAATCTGTATAGTTCAAACGCATCTGTGGGGGCCTGCTTCATTTTTTTTTTCTTTAGAAAGAGTCTCATGTAGCCCAGGCTGGCCATGAACTCCCTGTGGAACTGAGGATAATCTTGAACTTCTGATAATTCTGCTTTTACTTCCCAAATGCTAGGACTGTAGGTATACACTACTGTCTTAGTTAAGGTTTCTATTTCTGTAAAGAGATCCATGAACACAGCAACTCTTATAAAGAATTCATTTAATTGTGGTGGCACACTTACAGTTTTACAGTTCAGTCCTTCATCATCATGACAGGGAACATGACAACATGCAGGCAGACACAGTGCTGGAGTAGTAGCTGTGAGTTCTACATCTTGCAGGCAGCAGGAAGTCAACTGAGACATTGGATGGTATTCTGAGCATGGGAAACCTCAGTGCCCGCCCCCATAGTGACACACTTCCTCCAATAGGCCACACCCACTCCAACAAAGCCACACCTCCTAATAGTGCCACTCTTTATGAGATTATGGGGGCCAGTTACATTCAAACTATCACAACCACTGTGCCAGTTTATAGGGGTGCTGACGATAGATCCCAGGGCCTCAGACACACTACCCAAGCACTCGGCCAACTATGCCATATTTATCCCCACCCCCAAAATTCCTTCTATAAATATTTTGATAAAATTATACATCATCAAATGTGAAATTACATTACAATTCAAGTTGTTTATTTGACTCACGTTTAATATAGGAGTTAGTTTTAGCCTTCCAATGAAGGAAAGCATCATTTAAAAATCTGTTCAAAGGCCATCGAGATGGCTGAGCAGATAAAAGTGATTGCCAGGAAAGGCAGACACCCTGAGTTTGATCTCCAGAGCCCAGATCAAGAAGCCAGATGAAAGGAAAGGAAAAATAAAGTGCTGTGTGTCTGTGGTCCCAGCACTCCTACCATGAGATGGGAGGTGGAGAAAGGAAAATCATCGGGAAGCTCAGGGGCCAGCTAGCCCAGAGTGCACAGGGCAACAGAAGCACCAAGAGAGACCTATTTCAAAACAAGTGGAAAGAGAAACCCAATTACCAGAAGTTCTCTTCTGATGTTCATGTGCACTGTGGCACACATGGCGCCCACGCTTAGACACACACACACACACACACACACACACACACACACACACACACACACACAGTCTTTTAAATCTGACCATATGAAAGAAATTTAAAGAAAGGGAAAAAAATTTTGAGGCGAGCCTGCCAATCCTGAGTTTTATCCCTGGGATCTGTTGAGTGGGAGGAGACAACTGACTCCCTACTTTGTGTCCTCTAAGCTGTGTGAATGCACTGTGGTACATGCAGACTCACACACACATGCTAATTAAAAGTAACTTTAAACAATTTAAATCATACAATGTATCTATGTTCACAACAGTAAACACTGCTAAATGGAAGCAAAAACTAGTGTCTGCTCTTGTCCCCTGAAGAAAAGTGACATTAACATGCTATAGTCTGTTGGTATACTCGATTGCTTTTCTGCAGTTTTGTGTGCTCACTATTAATTATGTATACTATGTTTCAAATACTGCAATGTAATGGGTGTGATGGTGAATGCCTATAAATACAGCACTCAAAAGTTGTGTCTCTACCTGGCCTGGTGACACACAACTTTAATCCCAGCACTCAGGAGGCAGAGACAGGCAGATCTCTGAGTTTGAGGCCAGCTTGGTCTACAGAGCAAGTTCTACGACAGCCAGGACTACACCAAGAGACCCTGTCTCAAAACAACAACAACAAAACAAAATAATAATAGTACAAATTTAAGGCCCAGAGAGATGACTCAGCAGTGAGGAGTGTATACTGCTCTTTTGGAGTGTCTGAGTTCAGTTCCCAGCCCCTACGTCATCCAGTTCTGGGACTCTAACACCTCTTGCCTTCAAGATCATCTGCATTCATATATATATACACACACACACACCTACAAATAATTAAAAATAATACAAACAAATCTTTTTAAAAAGTAAGTGAGGAGGCAAAAACTTAAAAACATATATAAATTTAAGTAGTACAGATTTCTTGTAGGTGGTGTATAAGTAATTATATCTTGACTTTGCCTTTGGAAAGCTAAAGGATGCTGTGTTTAAATGTATACTACGGGGGTTGGGGATTTAGTTCAGTGGTAGAGCGCTTGCCTGGCAAGCACAAGGCCCTGGGTTCGGTCCTCAGCTCCGAAAGTATGCTATGTCTTAATCTTTTTTAAAGAAACAAAATCTTTATGTCATAGTGTGAGACGCTAAAATGCTTTTTGGTTTTGAGCGCTAACCATTTTTCAATCATGTCTTTTTAAGGAGCTCCCACCTTACCTTTGCAAACTGGATGTCCCATTTCAGAGAGGTAATATTTCTTTTTTTATGGTTTAAAACGCTGACATTAAAGTATATTCATTTATATTGAGAAATATAAATTCTAAAGATTTAACTCTATCACTTAGCTTAAATTCACTTGACAACTAATTGAAGCCTGAATACCATAATAATTATATGAATTTAGATTCTTGGAGATACTTTATACTTCTCAGGGGGTAGGGTGGGAAGCAGGGTGTGTGTTTTGAGATAGTCTCAGTCTATATCTCAGCTGGCCTTGAATTTGCTATGTGTCCCAGACTGACTTCAAACTCACAGCCATCCTCCTGCCTCAGCCTTCAGAGTGGTGGGAGTTGTAGAATCAAGCCACCATACTTGATTACTTTGTACTACTACTACTACTATTCCTCCTTCTCCTCCTCCTCCTCCTCCTCCTCCTTCCATTGTACTTCTAAAGCATCAAGTTTTACAGCATTGCCATTACTTATAGTAGTTGTCCATTATAAATATAATGAAGGATAAATAAATAAATGGGAAGGGCCTCTTGTAGATCCTTTCTGATTCTGGAACTTTTGATTCTGTCATTTAGCTAATACCTTTGTTAAGCAGCATTTGTTTCTAGTTGTATGTCTGTGCACTGTGCCATGGTGAGCTCGCGGACTTGGGAGGACAATCCAAAAAGATGTTTGGTTCTCTCCTTACACCTTGTGGGTGTTCTGGGCTTCAAACTCAGGTCATCAGGTTTAGTGACAATTGCCATCGCCCACGGGAGTCACCCACGGAGACACTCAGCAGCCCACAGAGACAGTCTTGCTGTCTAGCCCAGGCTGACCTCAAACTGAAGACCTTCCTTTCCCCTGTGCTCCAGGGGAAAGGCCCAGCTTTTGAGTCCCCTTATACTGTGAATATTAACCCCTTGTCAATTATATAATTTGAAGATGCTTTCTGTGATTTATAGGCTGTCAGTCACCCTGTTATTTTGTTGTTGTTGTTGTTGTTGTTGTTGTTGTTGTGAGAGAATTTTTAATTTTATTAAGTGTGTGCGCGTGCGCACTCACAAGCTTGTCACGATGTACATTCAGAGATCAGAACACAGCTTGTGAGAGTTGATTCTCTCACTCAGGTCTTCAGGCTTGGTGGCAGGCACCTCTACTCTCTGGGCTCTCTCACAGGCCCCCAGGGATTTGTTCAGGTCCGTTTTAAAAATACTGTGCATACCAAATGAGGTAGATTTTAAATTCGCCAGCATGGGGCTGGAGATACAGCTCAGTGCTAGAGTACTTGTTTAGCTAGCACTGAAGGCCTGGTGAAGTGGTTCAGACTTGTAATCCCAGCACTGGAGGTTGAGGCAGGAGGATCACCACAAGTACAAGGCCAGATTGGAGTACAAAGGGAGACTTATTCTTAAAAACAGCAAAGGTTGGGGCTGGAGAGATGGCTCGGCAGTTAAGAGCTCTGAAAGCTCTCGCAGAGTGTCAGAGACCAGCCCGACCTGTCGAACAGTTCTTGAAGGGAGAAGTGAGGATTAAAAACATAATAGAACTGAAAAATAGAGACATAAAGGATAACACCTAGTGTAGTAGACATAAAAGAAAAAGAGACACAGGATAGTTTCGGGAGGGCTCTAGGTCAATACTACAGTCGCCTCAAGTTTATTCCTAATGGAATTTTTATACACCAGCAAGTGGCATGGCAAAAGACCCCTCCCCCTTTCCAGGTCAAGGTACAAAACTACAAACAAATGTAGACCCTTCCTTAATTTTCAAAACACCTGGTAACCACACCTTTGGCTAAAACATCCTATTATGCAGCCTTATGGGGCAAGGCAAACTCAGACTCTCTGACTCTGAGTCAAGATGGAATAAGGCTTCACTATGAAGTCTCCTGTGGGCCCCCACAGCAGAGAACCTGGGTTCAATTTCTAGCACCCATGTGGTTGCTTACAATTCCAATTCCAGGGGATATGACACCCTCTTCTGATTTCCAAAGGCTCCTGCAGGAATGCAGTGCATATATATACACTCGGGCACTCACACATGTTCATAATATTAGATTTCAAAATACTCTTTAAACACCAAAGACAGGTGAGGCTCAGGGGAGAAAAGAAAGAAAGGTAAATAAAAGTCAGGGGGAAAAAAAAACCAAAAAACTTAAAGTTACTGGATGTGATGAAATATCCCAGCACTTGGGAGGCTGAGGCAGGCAGATCTCTGTGAGTTCCAGGCCAGCTAGGGCCACCTTGTCTCAAAAAATAAAAATAAAGGCCTGGAGAGATAGCTTAGTGGTTAGGAGTGATTGCTGTTCCTCCCAGAGGAACTGAGTTTGGTTCCCAACACACACATTGATTTGCTCACAACTGCCCATCTCTAGCCTCAGAGGATTCGATGTCTCTTCTAGCTTCCTCCAGCACCCACAAAAAACACACAGACATACAGATAAATTAAAATAGAATAAAAAATAATAATCAAATAAAAATGAAAGTCATCTATTTGTAAGGCATGTTTCAATCTAACGAGTGTTTGATTTGTCTTCACCTGAGTATCTTTTTGTTTGTTTGTTGTTTGAGACAGGGTTTCTCTGTGTAACTTTGGCGCCTTTCCTAGAACTCACTCTATAGCCTTGAACTCACAGAGATCAACCTGGCTCTGCCTCCCGAGTGCTAGGATTAAAGGCATGTGCCATCACCGCCCGGCCACACCTAAATATCTTTAATCTGTGTTATTATGAGGAAATGTTCTTTCTTTTCTTTTCTTTTTTTCTTTTCTTTCTTTCTTTTTTTTTTTTTGAGACAGGATTTCTCTGTGTAGCCCTGGCTGTCCTGGAACTTGCTTTGTAGACCAGGCTGGTCTTGAACTCACAGAGATCCACCTGCCTCTGCCTGGGGACTTTTCTTTTCCTCTATAGTGCACAGCCAACTCCATGAATTTATTAATGATATTATTATTATTATTATCATTATCATTATTATTATTGTTGTTATTATTATTATTATTATTATTATTATCATCATCATCAGCTGGCCTAGAATTCACTATGTAGACCAGGCTGTTCTTAAATTCACAGAGTTCCACTAGCCTCTGCCTCTGGAGTACTGGGGTTAAAGTAGTGCACCATCACACTTGGGAAGGCTCCACAAACCCTTTGGGATTAGGAATTTCACAGCCTGTGGAGCGCTTGCCCAGCACTGAATAAATTGAATGTGAGGATCTAGGCTTATAATCCCAGCACTTGGTGGGGAGGCAGGAAGACCACAAATTCAGGGTTATCCTTGGCTACCTAGTGAGTTGGAGGCCAGCCTGAGTTACATGAGACCCTGTTTCGGAAACAAAACAAAATGAAAAGACCCTTTCATTTTGTTCCTGGTTTTCTGTCCCCTTAGCCAGTCTTAAATTTGGGAATGTGGAGATCTCTGAAGCCATCTAACCCGCTCTCCCTTACAGAGAGAGAAGGAAACAGAAGTCACAGAGGAGCTTAACTTGATCAAGGTCATATAACAAGTGAATGGCTGAGCTAGAACTTGACACTCTTTCCACATTACCAGGCCAGTGCTCAAATAGACTGTCCTCTCCCTCTCTCTGAGCAGTCCCTGACTGTCGTCAAAAAATAGTGGCAGGTACTCAGGTTTCAAACAACTGTAAAGATTTTTTAAAGTTTGTTTGTTTGTTTATTTATTTTTTCCTATTATCAGCTTGATACAGCACAAATTCTTACCCTAATAGTGAAATGTCTCACTATTGAGGCTTGCCCAGTGATTGGGTAAAACCAAAACTTATTATAAGCCACAGTCATCCTAGGGTCCCCCCTGCTATATAACCTCTCTGGTTTTGTGGGTTGCAGTCTGATTGTTCTTCGCTTTATAGTTTTTGAGTCAACGTCCTACTATGTAGTCCAGGCTAGCTTCGAACTCAGAGATCCACTTGCCTCTGCCTACTTGGTGCTGGGATTAAAGGGTTGGGCCGCCAAGCTCAAGACTAAAGCAAACAAACAAAAAATAATTTATTGGGTTTAGAGTAGAGTTGAAAGTTTGGGCCAGGCAGAGGTAGGTTGGTCTCTGAGCCTGGTCTACATAGCAAGTGTCAGCCAGCCAAGGTTTTTAGAGCCTGCTGGGTCATCTCACCAGCTCCTAGCTTTCTGGTCTCTCTGTACAGCCCAGGCTGACTTTAATCGAGACCCTCCTCCCTTAGCCTGCCGAGTGCTGGGATGTGCTGATGCGCGGCTCTGAGTCTCATTTGCCTGTCTGACGTTAGTTTTGTCTGTTGGACCGTTTCCTGTGTCCCTTGAGGGTATCTTACTTGGATGTGGATAGCTGTCGCCTCATGGCAATTCATTCGCAATTCATTTGAATACTTAGAAGACAACAGTTATTTTATCAAACTAGGGTATCACTAGCCAAATAGAACCTTCTGTAATGACAGGAACATTCTGTATTTCTGTTGTCTTTTTTTTTTTTTTTTTTTTTTTTTTTTTTTTTTTTTTTTTTTTTTTTTTTTTGGTTTTTTTTTTTGGTTTTTTCGAGACAGGGTTTCTCTGTGTAGCTTTGCGCCTTTCCTGGAGCTCACTTGGTAGCCCAGGCTGGCCTCGAACTCACAGAGATCCGCCTGCCTCTGCCTCCCAAGTGCTGGGATTAAAGGCGTGCGCCACCACGCCCGGCCTTCTGTTGTCTTATAAGACAGCCAGTAGCCACAGGAGTTCGGTTTCCAGCATCTATATGTTGACTTGCAACCATCTCTAACTCCAGTTTCAGAAGATCAGATAACCTCTGACCTCCGAGGGCAGCCTGACATACATGTGGAGCACATATATGTACAGGAAAAAGACTAACACACATAAAGAATAAATCTAAACATAATTTTTTTTTTTGTTACAAAGCTACTTTGGAGTGTGCCTCACAGGAATAAAACACAGGGAAAGAGTAACGCCCCCACACCCCCCCAAGAGCGCTTGGGATGGTGGGGGACGGATCCTCGAAGGGGAAGAAACCCTAAAGGGACCCGCCGCAGACTCAGGGCAAAGGGAATGCCATCCGCGCTGGGGCGCTGCTCACCCATAGT